CGATTCTAGCTTTAGAATCCAGCCAGTTGGGGGATATTAAACATTTTATGAGCCGATTGTAGAACACATATTGTTTTCATTTGTAAGGCATCTCCTTGCAACAAGGCGCACGTTTCTGCGTGAGTTTGTTGTTATCGGTAATGTATGATCCTCAGTCGTTTATTGTATGATAGCCAGGTTTTCCTCTGTGACTGTTTACAAAGTCTGTAAGTGTACGATGTCTAGCGTATTAAAATCTGTTCCGATTTTAAAAGTCGTGTAGTGTATTCCAGCTCTTTGATGCTTTGCAACAGACAACCAATCCCTTGCCTCATATTCACATGGTTTCTAATTGTCATACTCTTCGAATTTCATATTAAGAAATTATTTTAACCCATGACAAATATTTCGTGTAGGCCAATTTATTTTACTCTTTTTATTTATATTATTTTATTCTGTTTTTCTTTGTTCTCAGAAGCGCTGCAGGTATATTTTTAATGGGTCACAGACACTCGTCCATCATATTATTTATTTAATACTTAATATTCAAATATGATCAGTTAATGTTCGGATAACGAGCTGCGGGTGTCGGTCCGGAAAATTAACCAAAATTACCATCCCTACTTCTAGCGGAAGAATTTCCTTTATTTTCACAAATAAATAAACGTTTTAATGAAAATATATGTCTCTAAAATAGTAGCTACTATGTGGTAACCGTTTAAAAAAACCGCATTAGTCTCACTTACCTATTTAAATATTTTTTGTTACTTGCAATTAATTACTAAAAGCAAGATCACAGTCCCTGTCTGTGGTAACGTTAGTGAATATTACCACAGCTGTGATTACATGTGGTATGACTACAGGCACTATGCTCGCGTGTTATTACTTAACTATGAACTGCAATTATGCATTTTGTGGATCGTCTAAAAGGAGTTTATAGTAAATATAAGTGCTTCTAAGTTACAAAATGCTATAACAGACAATCACGTGTATGTCTCCAATCACTGCAGCCTACCCGTTGCTGTCTGTCTCGTCAGGCTCTTGAACCTGCCTAGTCCGACCTCTACCCAAAAAAAAATACATATATATATATATATATAGATTCAAATCTAAAGCAAATCCGCAAAAGCGCTGTCATACTCACAAAACGAACACCAGGCTTAATACAAAGCGGTTAACAGCATTAAATACCAGTGGACTCGCACAAATCTGACCCTGAGAAAAATCACGTAATACCTCCTGAATATATGATCACTTTAAAGACAATATCATCACGCCTCAAAGCCATATGTAGCTGCACGCTAGAGTAACAAAGTAAAGCGCGGGCCTTTTCCTATTCCAGAGCGCATGGTTCTGAACATATTCCCCGTGGCGCGAATCTAATCCATTGACGAATTATCGACGGCATGACAGCGGCCAATGACACAGCTCTTACTCACCGAGAAGAGAATCCAGTCCTCCGGAGAGGCGTTAACGTGCTTCGGCGATCAGTATAACAGCCCTCGCTTTAATGGAGCGAATTTCAGCGCGGAGATTCCTAAACACTCCCTTCAGCTCTGGCGACCATGTTTGTACTGGCTGGCTGACTGACTGACTGACTGTTGCTGGTGTGCATCCGGGCGCTTGAGGGATCAGGGGGCAGGAGCTTTCCGTGTACGGAGAAAAAATGGGAAAGAACGAGTGGAGAACCCATCAATGCAACGTCCTGTCCCCCTTCAGCTCAAGTATCAACCAAATGGCTGCGGATTTAAGCAGATGGGCGTTTGTTAGGTTTATTATGGGCTGTTTTAGATATGGCTGTTATAGAAATGTATTCTGGTCTGGTCACGAGGTCATTGTTTGTCTGAGAAAACCTTTAAGGAGGTAGTGTTGTCTGGACCACGTGACGACAGATCGATTCTTATCCATAATGAAGCTCGATTATGATAAGAATACATTAGGTACCATTACTTTATTTGTAATATTTATATGTTTTATGTCTCAGAAAGTGGGCAGGTAGTTGTCAGCATACGTACTGTTACGTAACAGCATTAGCGCGTTCTCAACACATGCGCGCCACACGAGACTAGTGTTAGGAAGTCCGAATCCTTTCCGCGTGTCGGTTCTTTTAATGATTCGTTTGGGGGGGGGGGTTAAAACGATACAGCGATTATTTTATGCACGTAATCACGTGGTCCCTGGCATATTACACGCTCTAACGTTCAAATACGGTTTATTAAGGCAGTTCGTTGTAATATTATCTGTGATTCTTCGCATAAAAAACATTAAAGTCATTTAGAACCTAAATATGTTTTGCATTTTATTAAATACTGTTTTAATCTAATTGATATATCTATTCATTTTAATATTTTAAATTATTTATTTTCGTGAATGAGTCGTTCAGACCAGTCTTGTGATTCGAAAGATTCATTGAACAGAATCGACTGGACAGAGGGATTCGTTTACGAATCGGACACAGCTACACGAGACCCCTTCAGAAGAGCAACAAGACTAGTTCACTGAGTTCATCCTAGACATACATCATCAGAATATTAACATTTAGGAATAATTATTTCGAGGAATAATTATTTTCTCTGTTTATTACGACTGAATTACGTGCCATAGGTTTACTCTAAAATAGACCTTATATCAAAGACACGTTATTTCAACGTGCTGCTATTAGAGATCATTTTTGATACGACAATATAAACTATAGGCATATATATAGTGTCCATTTAAATATTTAAATACATTTAAATGATTCTAGGGCTTGATGGTTGTATTGAGATTTTTCGTCCAAGTACGTTTAAGAGGAAAAATCCAAAACTTGGTGAACAGCGCCCTCTGCTGTTTCATGCCCACATGCAAATATTGATTTAGTACGTCGTCTTGGATGCCTGGCCAGCAGAAATCTATTAGGCCTACGTCAAATATAAAATACCACAGTGAAAATGTACTATTTATAGAGTCCCAGCCTCCGAGGAGACAAGAGAGCAGTGGATTTATAGATTTATTTAGGCTATTGTATATTGCTGCTGCCACACCGATCTAAAATAAACAAGCGATTTATTTATTTCCCAGCTGTTTACTTTCACAGACATAACCGACTGTTTTTG